ATTAGTTACTCTTTGAATGATCAGATAATTTGGAATATTATTACAGAATAATTTTCAAGAGCATCTAATTACTGTGGGTCTAATCCTGCTAGCATTTTGCATGCAGAACTCCTGTAGAAGTTTGACACCTTGGAATACAGATTGATTTTTGGAACCGGGATCATATAATATTTATACATTGGTTACATGATTATATGCACGCTTTAGGAATAAAAACATAGCACTTTATTTTAAACAAAAATGATTTAATTACTGATCCATAATATTTGCATCAATGTTCTGAAGAAAGTGTAGGATAACTTAAGGTTTGGACTGTTTGACTAATAGCAAAAATAAAAGGTGGACATTTAATAACATTAAAAACTTTATTTTTCATGGGAATTTTAAAGTTTTGAACTATTTCACCTCGCTCTATTCATGTTAAATAAACTTCCAGCGAGGGAGATTTCTAAATATTAAATATTCATGAGCCCTGTGCAGCAGCATACATTTTGTCTCCATAGGTTTCAAATATGGAGATTTTTGTGGTCTTTCTGCAGCTTTCTGTAGAAAATACCCAATTATGGTCTCATGTTGATGGAATTGCTGACACAGGCACAACGGCTGAGCGGCAGCTACAAAAGAGTCTTGAGATCTTTAAGTAGCAACATCCTCTAAAATACTAAATTAGAAAAATAAGTGATCAGAATCGTATACCCCTCGGTTTTCCTGTGTGCGACAAAGTGTGAAGATACTTACAGAAAAGAACAGGCTGTAAAATAGAGATTTAAATTTGCCATCTAATTAGCCATCATGAGATAGGGTGTCTGTCAACAGTACAACATAATCCCAGGTTAATAGAACTTGAGTTAGGAGACCCTGGGTTTGAGCCCCTACAAATTTGTAACCCTAGATTAGGAATTGTTGAACCCTTGGTCCCAGCCTGGGGCTCCAGCATCTACCCTGCATTAGGTGAGTCCCAGTCCAACCACCCATATCCCAGACTTCTTAGGATCCTCACAAAATGTGGCTGCTCTAGCCCTTTGTTCATGTTGCAGTGTGGGAAAACTTGACTGTCCACTAAACCTTACTGTCCAGAGGACAAAACATTGATCCATGGGATTGGGGGATACTTCTAGGCAGACTTCCAGAACACAAGTCCAATGGGGCTGCATCTACACTGCAAAGGACTATGGTTTGAACCCTGGGTCCTGGCTTGGATCCTCTACCCCTGTGAGGTCCTGGGACCATAGGTCTTAATCCTGGGTTAGCATGATTTTTGTGTAGAGAGAAGGGGGCGGGGAGGGGGTTAGTTTTGAGCCTGAGTTCAAACCCTGGTCTTACACTGCAGTGTAGGCTTACCCAGAGCCCAGTGAAGTGAGTAGGAAGTCTTTCCATTGACTTCAACGGGCAATCAGGTCCATGCAGTATAGATATGTCAAATTCTGCTATTTTTATACCAGTGTAATTCTAAAGTACAACTTCACTGAAACCAGCGGATGTATGTCTCTCTTACCCTGGTATGAATGAGAACAGAATTTCTCTCTGCAGTGATATTTGAAGGGAATGGGAATTGCATGATATATACCAGAGATTGGCAACCTTCAGCATGCGGCCCGCCAGGGTAATCCCCCTGGCGGGCCGGGCCAGTTTGTTTACCTGTCCCATTTGCAGGTTCGGCCAATTGCGGCTCCTACTGGCCACAGTTCGCCGCTCCAGGCCAATGGGGGCGGCAGGAAGTGGCGCGGGATGAGGGATGTGCTGGCCGCCACTTCCTGCCGCCCCCATTGGCCTGGAGCAGCGAACCGCGGCCAGTGGGAGTCGCGATTGGCCGAACCTTCGGACGCAGCAGGTAAACAAACCAGCCCAGCCCTCCAGGGTGCTTACCCTGGTGAGCCGCGTGCCAAAGGTTGCCGATCCTTGATATATACATTTGGTACTTTCCTGATATAACCTTAATTTTGCAGATATTTCAATCAGCTTTATAAATTCCCTTTAACACTAAGATGTTTGAAAATTAAAAATATTTATGGTAAGCAATTAAATAACCCTAAATACTGTAGTATGACAGTACTTTGTCAGCATTACACTGCTGTAATTTGGACTCATTTGTGTTGTCTTTTAGCAAAAGTAACTGCCATAGAATAAACAATGTGTCAAAAAACTTAATTTGAGAATGCTGATATATCTCTTTACAACCTTTAATCACACGTCGGCATATGATATACACATGGTTCTGTCAGGAATTTCCCTAGGTTTTTGACAGCTCTTTAGAACTATTTCTGGCTGATTCCTCTGACAAAACTGTTCTGAGGAGTGGGGTATCATCTGTAATCTTACTGTCCGTTTTTAGTGTGGTATGAAAATGTTGCTTGCCTACTCAAGGTCTGTGAGGTCTGATTATTTTTTAATACAAGAAAGAAGGCTCCGTCAGCAGCTCAACAGCTCCAGATAAGGCTAAATCAATCCATTAAGATGTGCATTTGTGAACATTCAATTATACAGCCAGAATAGAATAGGTTTACTGAAATAATTGCTAATGTAACTCTTTCCTTCTTTCCATTAAACTCAGTTTAGTTTTGAAAATTAGTGTAAGGAGAGTTTTTGTATGCATTGTGTATAGAAACAGTTGAGACCCAGCTGGCTTTTTCTTAACACAATACACTTTTTTCAGTGCAATAATCCTAGAACCTTTAATTTCAGAAGGCATTGGGTATCTCTGAGTTAAAGTCCTACCATAACAAATCTAAAAATCTGTACCTGTGGGGGTTTTGTCTATGACCATTTCTAACCATGAGGCATCCAGGCTCCACAGAAGCTATGCTTTTTAACAGAAGAGCCAATTACATTTCTGTTAACATTTATAGAAACAACATGTGGCACTTGTATCTTCTGCCACTACCAAGCAAAACAATCTAGTTCTAGGGAGCGTCCTATCTTCTCCTATACTAGGAGATGTAATAGTGTAGCAGGCTCCTTTAAATTTGGAATTAGGGGGGTTTATGGGGAAATCTGAGTCTGGACCCTGACTTTCACTGACATGACATCAGCAGTCTTCTTCTTAATTCTCTTCTGTTTATAAACCATCTGGAGCATTAACAAAACATAGAAGGCCACATTCTCCACTGGTTTAAATGGGCCTTTTATGCCGCAGATTATTTGACTCAGTTTATTCAGCAAATTAATTACTTATAGCATATTTATATAAATACAGTTTAACTAAAATGTGGATTCAAAACAATGCATGATCATTTAGTCCCCAATCCTACAGAAACTTATATGCCTAGCCTGATGCACTTTGGGTAGTTCAATGGAACTACTCAGTGTGTAATGTTGAGTATGTGCATACGTCTTTACAGTGTCAGGGTCTTGTTGCCCACATGTAATATCTAAATAAAACTGCTTGTGCTTCCCTGCTACTTCCAATCCTTACCTAAATTATGTCAATTGTAGCTTTCTACAGTTCTACCTATTATTGCATTTTGAAGCCAGTCTCCTTGCTAGGAGCAGTTAGACTCCTATTTTGTTATCAGCTGGGTACAATTAGAGTTACATTAATCAGCTGTGTTTGTTCAACTGAGTTCAGATTTCCTTTTGATTGCTGTAGGCATGATTTGAATTTTATCACCACAAGTCAATTCTTTAGACAAAATTTCTGACCTTAAATAACCCAAACTGTCACATACCACACTTTTCTAACAGTATAGAACCACTTTATGAATTATAGACAGGGCTTATTGTCTTTGGGTTTCTATTTCTGCTCATTTTAATATTTGTCTTTTGTATTTTCATAGAAGCTTCTGTTTTTATAAGTTTATTGTAATGGTGATTGACAGGAATTGACAGTTATTTCATAAATACTGAAATAAGCACAACTTAAAAAAATAGCTAAGCACTTTTAAAGCCTCATTTATTGTTTGCGTTCTACATGCAAGATAATACTACATATTATCTACATTCTAGACAATACTCACTCCTGCCATGAGTGCAGGGACTGGACTAGATGACCTCTCAAGCTCCCTTCCAATCTTACCCTTCTATGGTTCAATGCATACAATGGGCTAAATTCAGAAATGTGGTGTAAGGTAGGATCCCTTAGAGACAGTAATTATCTTACAAACGGTATCTGAATTGGTGTAACTTGCATGCGGAGGAGATAGAAGAAGGTGTAAGTTAACGTAGGATGGGAACAACCCACTTAAAGTAGCCCTACCTTATTTAAAGCTTGGCTTCTAGCCATGTAACCTATATCAGCACTGATGCTCTTAGTCATCAGTGGAGTGAGGTAAGTAGTGGCTTTAAGGTGGCCTGTTAATGAACCAAATCACATCTCAATTTAGCCCCCTGAGTCTGAGGGAGCCTAAGACCTCGTTTACATGAGAGAGCTGCACCAGCTTACCTAAATGTGATTTTAAACCAATTTAGTTAAACCAGTGCAAAAGGCTATCTTATGTGGGTTTAAAACATGGTTAGTTTAAGTCAATTATGAATCAGTTAAATCTAAACAAAAAGAGGTGGGAGGGATTGCTCTGGCTGAACAAAATCAGTTTAAATAACTGATTTTTTTTAGTTAAACTAGTGCAACTTTCTTGTGTAGACAAGACCTAAGTCTCGAAGGAGTTTCCTGGGGTAGCCAAGCACATGGGGGAAGGCGGTGTAGTTTATATGAAGAGGGGACTGGAGGAAATTGTAAGCTAAATCAGTTTGGATGCCTTATAGCCTAGTTTCTGAATCTGGGCCATTGTGTAACCACAAAAAAATCTGTTTTCCATGCTGGTACTGAGATAAACAGAGATTATAAAGAGAAACTGACCGGGCTATAATTTACAGCAGGGAGTACATATGCAGCAAGCATAATAGAAAGGAACCTTGCCAGTTCTTCAAAATGTATGAGCTGTTTTGTTTGTTAGTTTTTTGGTTTTAATCAAAGATGGGTATCTGTAATTATGAAAAAGTTTAACATGATGAGCTGTGTCCTCCACAGGGTGGTATTAAATGCTGCCTTTTGTTTTCTTCCACAGTAAAACCAACAGTTATTGATGTTGACATTTATGTTAACAGCATTGGCCCAGTGTCATCAATAAATATGGTAAGTGTCTTGCTAACAATGATTTTATCTGGACTGCTTGTCTTGGCATCAATACTTGCTGTTGAAGGGGGGGGAGAGAAATGTCACTAGGATAAGATGTTTTGATTGAAAGCAATAAGAAATAAGTCAGCAGACATAGTTCTACTTTTTAGACATAGTTCTACTTTTGTGCCTTTCCGAGGAGAAATAAACCAACTCAGCAGTATCATGCTGAGTGCTGCCTGTCATAAAATGCTGTTATATCTTGAATGATAAAAGTATGATGTTCAGAAAGACACATATGAAACAAGCCTGTTTCCAGGAAAATGTTGCAAGTGATGCTTAAATAATATCGTTTAGGAATACAGGAAATTAAAATTAAATAGAAACATGTCTATGTAAAATTAATGTTCATCTTAAAAATAAGCCAGGTATTCACAATATGTCCCTGTATAGAAATATATATGTAAGATTTGGCTTTAAGTGTTGAGTTAACTCTGGATCAAAATCAGTATTAACTCTATCAGTGCATTTATTTACATGAGTTTATCAGATCTCCAATGTTGTACTATAAATCAATGAGAGAATAGTGTCCTTCATTTTTCCCCTTGAGCTTTCGGAAAAAAAGGTCATCTTTAGTTGTACTGTGTGCATGAGCCAGGGAACGCAGAACTGTCAGAAGGCATGTGAGACACTGCTCGTGTGTCTGATACCACTGGTTTATGCTGGACCCAATCTAATCATAGAAGTAAAACTCTCTTCTAGATCACTGTTAACAGACGGTTTAACATACAGGAAAGGGCTCAGTTTTTGCAGTGACAAATACTATAAATTGTGCTTCTTTATCTTGATGTTGACATAGTTACATAGGCTTGGATTGTTTTTGTGGCACAACTTTTGGCTTCAATTCATGGATTCCAAACACTCTATGTTGTGTGGAGGGATGAATTTTGTCCTAATGTGGTTCAGAAATGGGGGCAGGAATTGGGGGAAAGGAGGTTTGCTAATATTTTGATCTGCTCACATCTAAAATCTCCTACTTAAATTCTTCAGGGCAGACACTTGGAATTCCATTGTGTGTGTTCAAAACCTAGCCAACGACCCAAATTTGATTGCGCTCTGTGTGGTGCAACTGTAATATAAATATTAAACAATAAGTGTAATTGTTCTTTTAGCTTACTGGGGAGGGGGGCTGAGTTTTGAAACCATTGTTCTGAGTTTGAATGCCAATGCCTTTTTTCAACGGCTTGTTAATGTATATTTAAAAAAAAATCCAAACACGAGACTCTCTGTGCAAATGGGAGATTTGGCAAGTGAAGATGGAACAAATAATCAGTACTGGGAACATCTCATAGTGTCACACTCTGCGAGAGAGTGAAACATTTGGTTATATTTCTTCAGTTGAAGCACAGAATGTGAAACAATGGAGGCATCTGTGTTATTCTTAAATTGATAATTATCTTTCCTCCAACTACAATTCAGAGGAATGTGTCTACAGGAGGATCTCCTCTGCATGCATTCCTCTGGCTCACATTACTGCAGTATGTGTCTTGTGTGTGCCCTGCACAAGGGGAATGAGAAAAGTGAACAACTGACTTATTAGGTTGGAAAGGTTTATTTAGTTCCTTTTCCTTGCTCTGAGCTGCTGGAGATGTAGATGTATCTTCTGTCACAAAATACTTGGATTAACAAAATTTTATAGGAACTGCCCAAACTAAGGGGATGAAAAAAAAAACACTTCAAGTGAGCCAGCAGTACTTGGAAGTCAATTTATGCTACAGTATAACCACACCTGGCTTACTTATGCTTTAAGCCCAAGTTCCGAGTACCTCATGAAATTCTGGTGAGGAAATACATTAAGAAGTCAGTTATTTTTTAAAAAATCCCCAAATGTGGCTGTGTAATATTTGGAGTGTGGCTGGCATGTTGATATTTATGAAGTAAGTTGTTTTCATGTAACGATACAGAGTTACAGACAACATAGCCTTGCTACATGTGGTAAGTATTCCATCTATATAAAATACAGTAGAGCAATAAGTAAAAACACTGAAAGCTATGTTCAGTAGAGCAAGAAGATGACTGAGCTTGTATTGTGGGGTAAATAGATAAGGTTTGAGGAGAAGACCAACTCAGGAAAAGCACCATTCTTGTCATCATGAGCACACACCTCCAGCTCTTCCCTTAGTTCTCAGCCTGACAGTGGCTTCCAGCCCTCCATCACACAGCTGTCAAGTTAGTAAATACTGAGCTACTCTGTAAAGGTAACTGCCAAACAGTTTCTTATTGGGCAAAGAAAATCAGGTTAAATTAGATTCCATCCGCCTCAGTATCTCAAGCATGAGCTCACCAACAGGTGGTGGGAAGGAGTTAACCTGCTTTTGTCTTCCAACCATAACTCTTAGTTGCTTTTTATTTAACCTGCACCACTCTGAGGTTAAATTGTATATTGCTCTCCTAGAGCTCAAATGCCACTCATGTGTATATCAAGTTTCATCCGTGATTTAATCCTGTAGATAAAATCTAGGGGGTAAAACCCTCTTCCTTAAATTACAAAGCAATCTGAGCAATGGGTGTTCAATTGAATATTTGAGCAAATTTTGTAGATCAAGTTTTGTTAGAAGTACATACCTTTGTCCTGCTTATGATCAAACCTTAATATAAATGCAAATTCCCTTTTCATTCACATGGAGAAAAAAATGAGGAAACAGCTGACAAAACATGACTACTACAGAGACAGTATGAAATGAATTTAATGTGAATACCTGCGTCCATGATAGGAAAGCGAATCTATTCAACCCAGGGCTGGAGTCCTATTAGATCTCTGAAGGGGAGGAAATATCACTGGGGATCCCCTTAAGGAATCTTCCCTGGGGGCGGAGTTTGTCCTCTGACTCTGGAGGATACCCAGAGACACACCTGGATGTGTCAGGAGGTCAGGGCCACCTGCATGGAGGCTTTGTGCCCCCAGCAGCTCAATCCCAAACCTTCATTCACTGCACTACCAGTGCTTCCCCAACTGGTCCCAGGATCTCCATTAAAGGATCTGAGGATTCCCACAATGGAAGGGGCCATGGTGAAAAGGTAATACAGCTCCAGGCTGTGCTCCTTTCTTAAATCTTCATGAGGGGTGATCATCCCTCTGGCTCTACCACCATTAAAATGGGGCTGGTCCTCCTCTGCCCACAGAGCGTGGATTAGAGGTTGGGGACTAAGCAAAAGAGCTCATCTACATTTCCTGCCCATAACATGAACTAACAAAGCTGAAGCTTTAGAAAATTTCTGACTGCAATCCTGCATTTTTGGAACTACTTAACTCAGTGTAGGCATGAAACCAACCAGCAAGATCCATTTTTATATATTACCCCTTTACTGTGAGCTATAAACCATCTAGGTAGGCTTGGAATGGGTAGGGGTTAACTATGTAATTAGTGGTCTGATGGGTGCCCCCAAACTCCTGGGTAGTAGTTTATCTCTAGTGGAACTTGAGTAACCTATCACAATGCTATCCAGTCCTGAAAATGTTCAAGGAGTTTCTTACTGCAGGAAGTCTAAACTAGTATGATATTAAACTGGGCCAGTAGCTAACTTTCTATTTTGGGCTGCAGCTGAGTAGTCTACTGTATTTATTGCATCTGCATGTAATACAGCCAAAAAGCAGCTCCCACAACTGTCATTTAAATAGTCAGCAAGGTTGATGTATTTTGGCTGAAACTGAGAGTGCAATGGTGGGAAGGTAGCCTTCCCTTTCTTTGTGCCCTTGCACAGGAGGAAAGCAGTATTGCACACTACTGCAGTCCTTGTGCTCTCCTGACTGTAAGGTTGCTCCAGGCTAGTGCCAAGAGCAGCAGTAGCCTCCCTAAAAGAAAGTTTTTTGGGGTCAGCTACAGGCCAAGTCTTTCTGTTTGTCTACTAATCCCCAACTATTCTCCCATGGGTCTGTCAACATGGCTTCTATTTTATAGATACAGAGGTGTGTGTAATATATAAAATATGGACCATATAAAAAGAGGGCCTCTGTTGGTGCCTGATCTTGGACCTCTGTCTCCTGCTCTTAAAATACAAAGGAAGAGGTTCCACTCAGGGGTTACTACGACTTCAAGCTGTAGTGAGTGGAGTCCTCGCAGAGTTGAGAGGACAATGACCACCTTCCCACTTGCAGCTCATTGGCCCTACAGAGGGTCCTAGCAGATCTGGGTCAGTGCCATAGAGGTGACTTCCCCCATTCTATGAAGGCAGTGGGATCTGTGTGTCCAGGGCCCCTCAGCAAGAGGGATCTTTGGGGTGCAATCTGGGCAGAGCTAATATTAAATAGCAGCGGAATTACTGAGCACAGTCAAAACAGAAAGGAGAAGTTGAGGATAGATGGAAAAGCAATCCAATGGAGTGATGCAGAAAGTTTGTCCCAGGTGGCATTAGCTTCAAAAAAGAATTTTTCCAGCAGTAGAAGGCTTATGTAAAGTGATAGTAGTAACTAGTGCTATACAAAAGTACTTTGAAATGTAGAATCTCCACACCCATCTAAAATCTTCAGGGCAGCATTTTTTTAAAAAAAGTCAATTTTATAAATAAGTCATACTGGGAAAAAAGGAACATGAACTGTGATTGTTAAAAGATATATCAGCTGGCTGCCTAAGGAATTGCCACAAGGTATTTAATATAAAACCACATTAGAACTTTCCATGTGATTATTATATCCCTTTAACTTTATTATCCTATCTTTTTATACAGATAAGTTACAGAAACCCATCACTGGCCACTTAATGATGAAATGTCATTAGAGATTCTAACTTGTGAGATGTGGTATTGATGTCTCACAGGAACTTATTCAACTTTTACTGTTATTTAAGAGCATTGCTATGTCTTAATAAAAAGAATGAGTTTAGAAGACCCCCCTCCTAGTGAAGCAAGCTAACTTTCATTAACATTAGGACCATTCCTGTTGTTTTTTTTAAAAATGTTTCCTTTATGTCTGATGTTTCAAAATATAGTTTTCAAATTCCACATCACAGTTTTAGTCAGTT